TCTCCCCCGGGGGAGAAGCGGGGCCCCCCCCCGCCTATAAAATGCTCCCCCTTCCGAGCCACAGGGAAAACTGCTCAGGACCTGAAAAGAGAGGTTAATAACATGCTGGCTTTGGGGGTGATCCAGCCGTCTTCCAGCCCTTGGGCCTCGCCGGTGGTGCTGGTCCCCAAAAAGGACGGGTCGATCCGGTTCTGTGTAAACTATCGGAAGCTCAATGCCATCACGGTAGCCGATGCCTACCCCATGCCCAGACCGGACAAGCTCCTAGACAAGCTGGAAGGTGCTCGGTACCTTACCACCATGGATCTTACAAAGGGCTATTGGCAAGTGCCGCTAAATGCAGATGCCAGGCTGAAATCGGCCTTTGTCACCCCTCTGGGGCTCTATGAGTTCCTGACCCTGCCCTTCGGCCTCAAGAAAGCGCCGGCCACCTTCCAGCGCCTGGTGAATCAGCTACTAAGGGGGATGAAAAGTTTTGCCGTTGCGTATATCAATAACATCTGTGTCTTTAGCCAAACCTGGGAGAACCACATATCCCAGGTTAAACAAGTGCTGAACCAACTCCAGAAGGCTGGGCTGACCGTAAAACCGGAGAAGTGCAAGGTGGGAATGGCTGAGGTATCCTACCTAGGCCACCGGGTGGGAAGCGGCTGCCTAAAGCCGGAACCAGCCAAAGTGGAGGTGATCAAAGACTGGCCCGCTCCTCAAACCAAAAAGCAGGTCCAAGCCTTTATTGGGATGGCAGGGTACTATCGGAGGTTCGTGCCCCACTTTAGCGCCATAGCCGCCCCCATCACTGAGCTGTGCAAGAAGGGGAAGCCAGACAAAGTGGTCTAAACCGAGGAGTGCCAGGAGGCTCTCCGGGCGCTGAAGAAGGCTCTGGTCAGTGGCCCAGTTCTGGCAAACCCAAACTTTGACAAGCCCTTTATGGTGTTCACCGACGCCTCAGACACAGGACTGGGGGCGGTGTTAATGCAGGAGGATAAAAAGGGGGAGAGACACCCCATCGTGTACCTGAGCAAAAAGTTGCTACCCCGGGAGCAGAACTACGCGGCCATCAAGAAGGAATGCCTGGCCATGGTGTGGGCCCTCAAAAAACTAGAGCCATATCTCTTTGGGCGTCACTTCACCGTGCACACCGACCACTCTCCCCTGACCTGGCTGCACCAGATGAAAGGAGCCAACGCCAAGCTCCTGAGATGAAGCCTGCTCCTGCAGGATTATGACATGGACGTGGTCCATGTGAAGGGACGTAACAACCTAATAGCGGACGCATTGTCCCGGAGAGGGAGCCCTGAACTTCCCCAGGTCACTGGTCAGAGTAACCCCGCTCAGTTCAGTCTCGAAGGGGGGAAAGATGTGACGGAGCTGGGAGCAGGACAGATTTGACCTGGGAATGTTGCAGGGGGATTGCAGTGGGAATGTGGGACTTCCCTTGAAGAAAGCTACCTGAGCTGTAACCTGAGCCAGGAACGGGGGTGGGGAGAATTAACACCTTCTGCCCGGAAGACTGAACAAAGAAGAGGAGCAGCGGGAGGGGCTGCGAGTTTAGTTTCGGTTGGGGCTGGGTGGTGCAACACAGGGAACCCCAAGCTGGGGTCTAAGCTCCCTGAACCTCCCAGAGGGACCTAATTGAGGGGGTCTGGTCGTACCTACACGCTCTGCTTAAGACTGTGTTCCTGTCCTTAAATAAACCTTCTGCTTTACTGGCTGGTTAAGAGTCGCAGTGAATCTCGGGAAAAGGGGTGCAGGGCCCTAACTCCCCCACACTCCGCAACAACTCATCACACAACAACAGACAGAATAACACTCCCAGCCCCAGGCCCCTTGGCCCCAAAGGGTGGAAACGACTGAGCGGGCCCGGAATCATCCCAGTAACCGTCGAAGAGCACATCTGTGCCTCAGGACGGGCCAGCCCTTCGCTAGCCAGCAGCCCTTCCACGGGGCCGCCACCCGGGGCTCTTTAACGTAGCTGCTCTCCAAAGCAACAATTCTGGAAATGACACATGGCCATAAAGACACTGATCAACTGACACTGCAATGTCAGCGCGGGAAGTAAGATCATTCTGGAAGCAGCACTTCCAGCAACTGTACCCTGTACCACACTTTGTCCTCTGCACTCCCAGATCCCCCCGTCCTCCTGCCCCAGGGGCACTCTGGTCAGTTCGCCGGCACTCCTGCCCTTCGAGGTTTCTAAGCGAAACGTCAGTTGTGTGTTATTTACCGTTACCAAGCAGAGAAGCAGCTTCAGACACAAACTCTTCAGACTTTCGGAGCCTTCTGCACAAAGCAGCGAGTCCAAGCTCTCCATCAGATTCTGAGGAAGGACATAGTCACAATCAGCCTTGGCGGCCTGAATCCATCCGGTTACGTATAGCACGCCAGTCTGGCTACCAAACGTGGACCACCACTAAAATCCCTCCCTCAGCCTTGTCAGGAGTCAGGGAGGAACTGGTACCAGCCACAATCTAGGTCACATGTGACATTAACTTGCTGGATCACGTTAATCCTTACAGCACATTTGCCCAGTTATCCCACCACCCCACTGGAGCGGTTCCACAGCGAACCATCAAATCTCATCATTCATAGAAGGGTTACTCCATAACTGACACAAAAAGCCTTATTAAACTGTCCCCTTCTATCACCCCCATGGCAGGAGGTGGCATTCAAAAGCAGCGTCTGTTCCAACAGCTCATCCCCTGAAGAGCCACCCCACCTTGTAACTGATTTACAGCTCAGACGCCAGCATGGACAGAGGCATTCTGACCTCTGACTGCTATAAACCAGACATGTGTACGTGAGCAGCCTAGCGGCAGGACAGAGTTTGCCTGTATAGTTAACACTGTAGCGGCAGGACAGAGTTTGCCAGTGGATAGTTAACACTGCTCAAGCAACTACACTCACTGGTAAAAGATTCAAAGGTCAGACGCTGGCTGAGTTTACGCTGTATAAGTTCCCACCTGCCCAGCTGTACTGAGGGAAATCGAAGCACCAAAAAGATTGCTACCTTCAGCAGCTGGACTTGATACTGGGGTAACTGGGTGGAATTTTCCAGCCTGTGTTATATAGTAGGTCAGACCAGATAATCTAAGGTTTCAGAGTAGCAGCCGTGTTAGTCTGTATCCGTAAAAAGAACAGGAGTACTTGTGGCACCTTAGAGACTAACAAATTTATTAGAGCATAAGCTTTCTTGGACTACAGCCCACTTCTGTGCCACAAGTACTCCTGTTCTTTTTACGGATAATCTAACAGTCCCTTCTAGCATTAAATTCTATTCATGACAATCTAGGAAACAACACCATGGAGTGAAAGGAAAGGCACAACCTCCCTCCATCATTACGTTAGATATGTAATGAATTACAAGCGCCCTTGTGCTGGGCCTTCGGCAGGCAGAATACACCAGGGCAGCTGCATTTAATAATTCACTGTAGTGTTCACACACGTGCATGCGCTTCTTCGTAACGGCAACCGTCTACAGAGGACATCCCTGTAGCATAGGGCTGGCGAGCAGCATGCGGCTCCTCTGATGCCAGAGCCCTTACCTTCATGCACAGCTCGGCTTTGTCAAAGCCCATGAGCATGTTGATGATGTCAAACCCAGAGGTGGATTTGTTCTTCTGATGGACGCCGCGAATCAACGCACATAACGTCTGTGAAGGAAAGAGGGAAGGATGCAGCTGAGCACAGGACATCAGGCCACACCTCCGGCTCGCCCAGCAAACCCCATTCCAAGCCCTGCTCCCGGGACTGACAAAGAACAGGTGCTTCAAGGGCCACCATCAATTTAGGTCCCATTCCTGTCTGAACTCTTCCCTTCCCGTTGTTCTCTGTAACTCCTCAGGTTCGGAGAACTCGGAGATTAGAGAAAATACATATTTTCCAGTGTGTTCAGTGTGCACATTTGACACCACCAGGCAGACAGCCATTCTCGCTGCTTTGCCTGTACAGTCAGACAGTTTCCTCGGGTGCCCCGCCCAGCAACAAGGGAGAGAGACATTTACAGACTAGAGAAGTGTGACTGCCAAGGCCCAGAAGGGGACACTGAGGCTGGGGCAGCACCTGTCACGCTGCTTAGCAATTGTTGATGTTCCTTTAAAAGAAAATATTTCTAAAGCATAGAGCAAAATTGTATCCATATCTTTAGGGACATTTGGAGCACTTTCATCAGACAAGCAGTCATCTAATAAGCCTGGTCTCTTGTACAGATTTCACTCCACCTTCTCCAGAACTTTATTTCATTTCCTCTGTCGGGAAACTCAATGAGGGGCAGGGAGCGGGGGGGGGGGGGGGGGGGGAAGAGGAGGAAAAACTGTCTCTTGGACTACCCTTCAGCTCCCAGCCGGGTTCCCTGTTGCACGGAGTTCCTCATCTTCCTCCCTTCCCACCCCATCCCGCTGCGTGTGGTCTTCCTCACAATTCCAGAATCCCAGAATTTGCATTTTAAAGGCAATTTACATTTCCCAAGGTAGACAGGATTTTGAATGTCTCTAACCTTCAAACAAATAAATAATAAAAGCTACCAGTGAGTGTCCACTGCCTCTCAGCCACACTAAAGAAACTAGCACAAGGTGCTTGACAGTATCAATAAACGGCCCCACTCACACGGGCTCCCTAGCCATCAGCTGTGGTACCTGTAACGCATTGACTACTCGGATTGGGTGCTCTTCTCCCAAGGCCTGGATGCAGTGTTGGAACAAACAGTTAATGTTATCTTTTATCTTCATTAACTCTTCTCCATCCAGAGACTCCAGCTTGCTTTCTAGATACTCCAGGTTCACCTGTCAGGTCAAGGAATGAAGGAAAAACCAATTAATGCATTTCACCCAGCTGCTGAAAGGAAGTGGAGACCCCCAGGTGGGCAAATCCCTGCCACATCCCAGGGCAAACAAGCAAAGGCGAATCAAAAGATAAGAGGATGGCTTTCAACTCTTACGGTACCTTCATGAGGAAAAGCTCCTCCCAGAACCGAGGGCTGCATTTACTGGGGTCCTCCGTCTGAAAGAGAAAGGAGACCCCGTGAGAACAAATAGTACAGCTAGGAGAAAGGCTAAGCACACCGACAGAACATCAGCGTAAATAGTTCAGACTCCGGAAGACAAGGTTACTCACCTGTCACTGGAGTTCTCCAAGTACAATATATTGCCAACGCAGATTCCCAAAAGCGAGATTTGCAGAAGCAATTCTCGCCTGAGCAGCTTTCGTTCTTGTCTCCCAGAAATATTCTCTCCCCCAAACCGAAAAGGAGAAGATTCCTCACAGCTCCTCACTATGGAGTCCCTTCCTCCTACTGCATTGGCTCCCCTGGCCTGCCGCTCCCTTTCCTAGCTTCATGGGCACCGCACTCTACAGCCCCCGGGGAACGCCACTCAGTGAAACTGAAGGAGGCAGCAGAGGAAGGCAGTCATCGGAGACCGTTATGGGACAGCCTGGCTTTGATAGACGCGCGCCCTGTCTCATGGAGAAGAATCCGACACATGGAGCTCTCTCAGCAAACCAAAGGGACAAAGGAAAAAAGGCCCAGTCCTTACCATGAAGATCTCATCGTACATTAGCACAACTTTCTCTTTCAATGGTTTCTTGGAGGCTGAAGATTTCCAGAGCAGTCCACCTTTCTTCTCTGCTTGGGCCATGGTGTACAGCCTAGGCGTAAGAACAGAGACCAAACTACTGAGAACGCAGGAGGCGGCAGCATATGGCCACAGCACCTAGGAGCTGTAGTCACGGCCGGGACCCCATTGTGCTAGGTACTATCCAAACAAACAGATGGTCCCTGCACGGATGTTTTTCCCAAAGTGTTCTGTCCGCCATAGCCCTGATATCTCTGTACCCTAGAGTAACATATTAACAGCCACTAACATGCAGGAAATGGAGGGGGGTTAATTGCCACACCAGACACTGAATCAGACCAACGGTCCAGCTAGCCAGATCCTATTTCCGTTTCCAACACCAGATTGCTTCAGAGGAAGGTGCAACAAACCTTGCAGAATAGATATGGAATAGCCTGCTTATAGGGAAAGTTTCGTCCTAACCCGTCAGTCAGTGGTTGGTTTGTGGCCTGGGGCAGGAGAGCTTATGTCCCTTCCAACTTTTTGTTTGTTTTTTTTAAAGAAGTCCTTACTATAATCTTGCTAAACGCTTGGTCTCAGTGACATCTTGTGGCAATCAGTTCCACAGACTGTGCGAAAAAGTAATTCCTTTTATCGGATTTAAACCTGCTGCCTACCAATTTGCTTCAATATCCCTTTGTTCTTATGTTTGGAGAAGGAAAGCAAAGAAGTGCTGATCAACCTGCTCTACGGCATGTATTATTTTGTATTTCTTCCCTGGAAAAAAGTGGGTGGCAAACATTACAGTGCATTACACCGCTGAGATCCTGACCAAAATCCAATGCAAAATGCTCGCCCACTTGTGCAAGAGCTGCAAAGATTTGCCCCCCATATCAAATGCTAGTGTATTCAGGATTTTTCACTGCGTCACTGGGGCTTCACAGAAGCACACAGTTCCAGCCCCAAGAGGCCCAATTACAGAATCAGGGCCTAAGTTTCTAATGAGCTGTTAGGAAAGAGACAGTGCTGTGAATGGAAATTCTCTCCTTGTACCCAGAAGCTAGGTAGGTTGCAAGATGCCTGACAACTGATGGTCACAAATACCTAACAACATTAAGTATTAGAGTGGACCCTTTCTTAGAGCAAAAGGAATTTATTTTCCAAAATTATAACAGGATCTCTATAACCCAGGAACCGCTTGGCGCCAACTTGTGCCAACACAGTATTCTTGCCAGCAAGTTAAAGAAGTATGGATTGGATGAATGGACTATAAGGTGGATAGAAAACTGGCTAGATCGTCAGGCTCAACGGGTAGCGATCAACAGCTCCATGTCTAGTTGGCAGCCGGTATCAAGCAGACTGCACCCTCAGCAAGTTCGCGGATGACACTAAACTGGGGGGAGAGGCAGATACACAGGAGGGTAGGGATAGGGTCCAGAGTGACCTAGACAAATTGGAGGATTGGACCAAAAGAAATCTGATGAGGTTCAACAAGGACAAGTGCAGAGTCCTGCACTTAGGACGGAAGAATCCCATGCACTGCTACAGGCTGGGGACTGACTGGCTAAGTGGCAGTTCTGCAGAAAAGGACCTGGAGATTACAGTGGACGAGAAGCTGGATACAAGTCAACAGTGTGCCCTTGTTGCCAAGAGGGTATTGAGCTGCATTAGTAGGAGCACTGCCAGCAGATCGAGGGAAGTGATTATTCCCCTCTATTCGGCACTGGTGAGGCCACATCTGGAGTATTCGAAGTATTGGGAGCATAAGCTTTCGTGGGTAAGAACCTCACTTCTTCAGATGCAAGTAATGGAAATCTCTAGAGGCAGGTATATATCAGTGTGGAGATAACGAGGTTAGTTCAATCAGGGAGGGTGAGATGCTCTGCTGGCAGTTGAGGTGAATTTGACACCATCAGATCAGGATTAAACAAAGACTGTGAATGGCTATCCAACTACAGAAACAGTTTCTCCTCTCTTGGTGTTCACACCTCAACTGCCAGCAGAGCATCTCACCCTCCCTGATTGAACTAAC